ACTTTATTGCTTAGGCAATTCTGGAGTTTACTAAGGCTTACGCCTCATGGACAGTGAGGCGCGCCTCAATTCCTCTTTTGCGCAATTTTGGCTGAAGCGTAGGCCTCACTATAGGGTCCCACTTACTTAAGTTCGTAATAAAAAAACCTATTTTCTTCTTCCTTCTATCGGTCCAAGCCAAACTGAACGAAGGTCTCCCGCGGCAGCTGTCCTGCATGCTCCCGATCCCGACTCTCCCGCACCATTCTGCCGCCTCTCTCGTCAGCGCCCTCACGCCGGTGAGGCTCTTATGTCTAGCCGCCCTCTGACACTTCTTCAACCGGTCTTAGGGTTTTTTTTAGTTAAAGGTATGATTTTTTGAACTTATATAAAATCTAGGGTTTTAATTTTTTTAAAATTTTTTGTTTTATTTTGCATTTGTGCTTTATGAAATATGGTTAGGGGCAAAGAAAAGTCTAATACATCATTGCGGCGTGACCCTTCTTGGAAGTACAGTGTACAAGTTGATGTAGGAGGCGTCGAGAAGACGTGTGTATTTAAAATGCAATTTTTGTGATAAAGTGGTGAAGGGAGGAATAACTCGCATGAATGAAAACTTATCCAGCTCACATAAGAACGTAGCACCTTGTGCGAATGTTCCGGATAACGTGAAGGAAGAAATTACAGCTTATATGAAAAAGAGTACGACATCCAAACATTTACAACAGGAGTAATTTGATGAAAGGGTCAAACATGATGCTTACTTCGGGAGTGATAATGAAAAGAGCTCTTCCTCCACTATACATAATAGATGTGTGCAGGATTCTATGGACCAGTATATGACTACTCCATGAGAGGATAGAGGAAAAGCACAGATGATGCCTGCGGCTGGTACCAGAGAGGGTCGACGGCAGGTTGGCATGGATATTGACAGATTTTTTTTTAGAATGTCATATCATTTAATGTTGTGATATCGCCGACCTACTTCAATATGCTGCGGTCTGTAGGGTTGTATGGGAGAGGGTTGAAGGCACCTTCCATGTACGAGTTGCGAACATGGATTTTGAAGGAAGAGCTACAGAACACAGAGCATAGCATTGATGAGATTAAACGGATATGGATTGAGACTAGTGTTACCATTATGTCAGACGGGTGGTCTGACATGAAGAGCAGGAGCTTGATTAATATCCTTGTCAACAATCCCTACGGCACTGTGTTTTTACGATCAGTTGAAACTTCAGATGAGGTTAAAATGCTGAATTCATTTTCAATTTACTAGATGGTGTTGTTGAGGAGATTGGGGAGCAATTGGTTATTCAGGTGGTGACTGACAATGCCAGTGCATACAAAGCAGCTAGTCAGATGTTGATGGAGAAGAGGAAACACTTGTATTGGACTCCCTGCGCAGCACACTATATCGATCTCATATTGAAGGAACTTGGTGATTTACCTCAACATAAGAATGCTCTTTCAAGGGCGAAGAAGATCACAAAGTTCATATACAACCACTCATGGGTCTTAGCCTTAATGAGAAAGTTTTCAAAAAAGGAAATCATTTGTCCTACAACCACTATGTTTGTTATTACATTTGTTCACTGCAAATCATTTTCAATTCCTAATGCAAATTTATTCTACAGGTTTGCCACATCTTATTTGACACTGCAGAGCCTGTTGGATGTGAGACAACCTCTTGAAGCAATGTTTACATCATTAAAACACAATGGCTTAATTCTGCATGGGGGAAGAAAACTGAGGGAAAGGAAATACAAAGACTTATCAAACCTGATGAAACTCAACTCATAAATAAATTTTTATCTTGCAGAAGAATATAAATGCAGCATACTCGAACACAAAATTGGGAAATAATGTACAGTTACCTCCAAAAGGGTAAAATATAATATATTTGCCACAATTTGAACCAGTTGATGGCAATTCCAAGTGAATTATCCAAAATGATGCTACGTGACAACTTAAAAAGCATTCAAATATGATGATACTGCTACCTCTGAAAAAAGTGACCATTGCAAAGTAAAGCTCCAAAACCAAAACCATTCACAGAAACACTGAAATCAAAGCCCATCCAGCAAATAAGAGCGTTAAGTTGTATACTTCCCATAAAGCTACTGGAGATCTAATTTTTTAACCTTTAAAACGAGTACAAAGTTCAATTCTAGCAAGCACATTTTATTTTTACTGTGGTTTTTTGGTGTTGTAAGAATTTTTTTGCAGTCCAGCAGCTCAATTATCCTTCCAAATTTAATTTTAGCCTTTATTTTATTTCATTTCATTATCCCTGCTTTTCCTATTTTATAGATCCTACTGACCTTTATGATTTATGAGCAGATTAGCATCAGATAACTAGAAAATATATTTAGATATGAACTTGACAAAACCCGATGCATGCAAAGTTTTCAACAAAATTAATTTAGAGTTTGAGTAAGCATTGTTCTGTTTCCAGAATCCAAATTCACTAAATAACCAAATCCCGTAGAAGAGGAGTGGCCTTTTAGGCCCTTAAGCTTCTAGTAGTAACCCTCTAGAGATGACCAGCATATAATCATGCCTAGGCTTCCCTGACACCCTAATGGCCTGCCCTAACTTGCATATGCACCAAGTTGATAGTGTTCATCATTCCAGCCAATATAGCATATCTGAGTAGACCTTTCAAAGATGACTCTAATAGGTTTCCTTCTCAAGTTCCCACAACTCATCTGGTAGGTCTCACCAACAATTTTCATCCTAGCTTGATCCCCAACCTATGATGCACCGACACTTCTCCTCAAAGAGGCGTGCAGTGTCCGACACCGTGTCCGACACGACACTCCTCTGACACTCCTCCGACATGTGTCGGACACGCCGAAAACGTGTCCGATTAAAAAAATATTAAAAACTAATTGGACAGGCGTGCAGTGTCCGACACCGTGTCATTCATTTATTATTGTTTGTCATTTTTAATATGATATTACATTAATATATATATATATATACGCTATATTAAAAAATATATATTGTCGTGTCCGCACCGTACCCGTGTCCTATATTTTAAAAAAAAGCCGTGTCCCGTGTCCGTGTCGTGTCGTGTCCGTGTCGCCGTGTCCGTGTCCATGCATCATAGTCCCAACCTATAATAGATCTCCACTAGGCCTTCGATATTATGCCAATCAATCAAAGCATATTCAATGAATATTGCACCCAAAGTTCACAAGTGAGCTCCACATGTCCACCGTACATAGTGAGCCATCTCGATTATGATAGGTGCTCCATTCATTTGATAGTCCAAAGACTACTCCCGAGCACTTAATCGCCTCTAAGCTAGCCACATGGACCACTACCTCTGTCATTACTAGTATCACCTTATACTAAGATGCAAACCTATAAATACCCCTTCTTATAGAGGGGTACTTCTCCATTCAATTGAGACTTGAACTCTTGTATCCAAAGCAAACCTCCTTCCCTTCTTCAATCCCTCTTCTATCAAGTTTACATAATAAGGTGAGGTCCACACTCTTTCAAAGGTATACATATCGTATTTTCACAGTAGGCACCCCCGCCATCTCCTTATACTATTTAAGCTATAAAGTCGAACCACATATATCATCGTATTCATATATTTCATCTTTCCTCTATCTCTATTCTCTACACCGTCATCACTGCTCTTTTAAGGCCAATTGGTGACATCTCTGAGAATCGACCTACCTGCCTCACTATCTCGATTTATTCACTTTCTTTCCCTACATAGAGACGTATTTTGAATTGAAGGATGCTCATCTCTTCCCTCTGCAGGTGCCACCTCCTCACCCTCATAGACCATCTAGCGTCATCCCAATAGTAGACCAATTTGTGTCATTCACACAAACAAAATAAAGCTTATTTAGATGGGATATCAAAGTCAACCTTCCATTTAGAAAGTTGGCCCTAATGCAAAATGCTCAATAAAAATTCTTGAAAATATGAGATATGAACTCAATGGAAACGAAAGAAAGTAAGCCTTTACAAGCCATTGTTAGCTCCTAGATAACCATATAATAAGAAACTCCATCAAATGATGAAATACAAACATGATTAAAGATGAGATATCACAGCTATATTATAAGTCATTCTAATTCACTAATAATTATTTGATGCAGACAATAACAGATTAAAATATATACAATATATTATTCCAGATATTTTACACTCTCTGCTCATTACGAGTATTCCCACAACAGCCTATTCTTTTGATCAATACAACAATTTACCTAATGCATCTTGTTCATGTCTATAGTTACCTTTACCTATATTAGAATTTGTATCCTAACTTTTGCTCTTGTGGGAATGATGCTGGACTACATAACATAGAACTTTACGGCATGCCTCAAAGAACATAAAATTCTGCTATTCACCTTTTTTTAATGAGAATCATCATCTATTATGCTACGAATATTTGGGTTGTTACAGGAGAAATGTGACAAAATCTAACAAGTAGGATAAGAAGTTAATGTTTAACTCCAGTATTTCATTTTATGTTTCAAGCAAACAACGACCTGTATTTTATTTGGTTGTTAGCATGCTCAAAGTACAAGGGTTTCTTTCAAGGGATAGACACTACAGTAACACAGACATATAGATTTTCATTTCAAGATTTATCCCTCACAGTTGTAACGGGATGATTTGCTAGTTGCAGTAAAGTTATTAAGACATCTGCATGCATCTTAGAAGGCTAAATATTCCTCTTTATCAACAAAAAAAGGGAAAATGATTTACTTCAAAGTTTGAGGAAGTAAAATTTCTTCTAAAATCAGTAAGTGTTGCGTCCCTTTCTCCATATGAAGGACATTGTGTTTTTTTCAAAAAGAAATTCAAAGAAAGTAAGTTTCAACATGCCTAAACACTTCAGCAGTCCCTAAAATTCTCAGAACCCCAAGACGTAACAAAATATATTCAGCCAGTGTTAAGTGTTTGTGAAAGCATTTTGCAATGATGAACAAGAAGATTTCCAACAAATATATATGAATTTACAAGCCAAAACTGCAAAAACTTACCAATTCCTAATCCCCTATATGGAGCCAAAACACCAAGTGTCATAATGTAAACACGAATTGATCCTCCTTCCTTTCTCTCCAAACGACAAGCAATTGCACCAACACAAATATCACTATAATAAGCTGCAAAGAACAAGGTTTTTCACAATGCTGTTAACAAATCTCACGAACTAGTAAAGTTTTAAAAAATTTCAAAGCATCCAAATCGACAACATATGTGAGTTGCATTTTTTAGGAATTTGAAAATTTTTAGAAGATATGCACAAGGAATCCCTTCATTTATTAGCAAGTACTATTTTGACATAGCTCTTGGCATTGTTTAAAAAATCGTTCAAGGCTCATGCCTTGAAGCACGCCTCAAACAGTGACCTTCAAATGATGCGATTAGGAGAGTAGATGTATTAGATTTTTGAATCAAATACCTAAAAAAATCAAATTATCTGAATTTGGTTTACTCTACGTTAATAATACTTGCAACAAAACAAGCTCCAAGGTTTTCATATCTCCCTACTGAAACAATACAATCACGACAACCAATTACATCTTACGGTATTAGCACCACTACAGTGAAAGAGTCAACCAATAATTCAAGCTGCTATCATATTCAATATTCTATAACTCTCCAGAAATGGTCATATAAAGCTACAAAACTAATTCGATGGAATGGACTACCACAAGGAGATGCCACTTGGCTAGTTAATGGTAATCGAAAAAAACAACCTTGCTATTCTTGACCTTGAGAATAAGGTACTTTTTGAAAGAGGGGAAATTGTTATGAACGCGAGAGAATATTCAAAAACCACCGAGGCCACCGACATGGCTATGGAAATATCAAGTGGAGAATGGCTAGAGGGGGTGACACTTGGGTGTAATAGAATAAGTGAATTTAAAATTATTTTGTGTTTGGCTTTTTTAGGGCAGGCTTATGTCTCCTTTATAGTGGATGAATGGGTTAATAGGGTAAAAGGGAGTATATGTAGTGAGAAGCTGCAAGCAAGGAGCTATGCAGAAATCAATACAGTAAATCTTTTCTCCCCAATTGGTGCATCTTCTTCCTTTATTCCGTCTTCTCCTGGATGTACAAAGCAGGCTTGAAATTGCTGATTTATCCCATTGACATCCCCTACAGAAGCTTACAAGATATATAATGAATTGTTTCCAGGATTTAAAACCATCCACAACCGGTAAGTGAACATCTGAATGACAAAAAACTCCATTCTTAGATGCAAAAAAATGCAGATAATGATTTCCGGATTCTAGAACCATTATCATAAATTTAAATAACTAAAAGTAGCTTCTTCGATTAACTAAACAATAGAGGACAAAGTTTAAACAAAAAAAGGATAAGGGAGATAAAATACTATGCATGTGGAACCACAATGGGGAAGATTGGAACTCCGAGGAATTATTTCCCAGAAGCCGTCAAAGCTAAACCAGCTTTAACTAGGCTGGCCAAAATGAGGTAAAGAAAAATGGATCCTCGCCATTAGGGAACTACGAAGAGCAAAGGTAAACGCGCGGGAGAGATGAAACGAACCGAGCTTCGTGAAATCGCCGGAGGAGAGGGCGTCGGCGTAGTACTTGTCGTTGTAACGCACGGGAAAGAGCGCGATGTTGAGCTTCTTCAACTGCATCAGATTCTTGTCCCTCAGGCAGTCGAGGGATATCCCCATCTCTCTCTCCCTCTCCCCTCAGTCCGAACAAATGGTAAAACTTTAACCCTAAACCAGCCGCAGGCCAACCAACCGTGCAATTCCGCCGCCGATCAACTAGCTTTTAGGCTATAGCTTTTTTTAGTGGATTCGAGAAGCTTTAAAAAATTTTGTGCTGTGCAGTTTTGATTTAAAAATTACTAAGATAAAAAAATTATTTCAAATGAAATCAAAGATAAATAAATCACTGCTAACTCATAATCAAATTTGTTTGAGGGAACATTTATTTTACTAAAAAAGAATAGACTATAAAATAAATATAATATATTAAAATTATTTTTAATATTTTTTATAAAGTATTTTCCTTAAATTTGAAAGTCACATCCAACATATTTTTTGATAAACTTCAAATTAAAAAAGATTTCAATATGAAAAAAAATAAATAAATATAAACATCAAAATATATGACAAAATATATAGACCCAAATAGTAAAATTATGAAAGAAATTTCAAAAAAAATAGTGCTAAAAAACCATTAACCAACATAGCAATATTTAGAATTCTATAATTGTTGTCATCCATGCTGGTCGGAAGACAGCATAAACACCAAAAAAGAGACGATCAAAGAAGTCACTAATATACGTCGTTAAAATTTATTTTGATCGGGCATGAATCTAAGACAAAATAAAATTGAAAGCTTCTAAAATTAAATATATGGCCATCCAAACTTTGTTTTCACTAATATACGTCGGTTAAAATTTATTTTGAGAGGAGCTATTCTCAACCACCGTCGAACTTCCACCCGTTCGTCGACCATACTTGACTAATGTCATACAAAACTAACATGTATATGATATACTTTTCTTATCAATTTTATAACTAGTAAAAATCAAAGCCAGAGCAGCACATGAGATTAAATAATAGGGTATTACTAGGTTAGTCAATTTTCATAGTGTGTGTTCCAATAAGATGTCTTAAAATATGTTTGATGGTAATTATATGAGATTCTTTTTGGTCAACCTAACAATTTTAAAATTGTCATGCACTAAACATAATAGCAAGTTATACATATTGAATCATTACCTCAGACGAAATCATACGCAAATCCTATTCATATCAGCTTCTTGCTACAGTTGCTCATCTCCTCCAAAATGGCATCAAAGATGCCCATTTACACGCATCTCGATCGCACAAGACTTGAACAAATTACATATGACCTAAATTGAACAAATGCACATGACTTGAACTAAATGCAGGGGACTTAAACAAAACAAAATGGGACTTAAACAAAACAAGGAACTCGAACAAAATGCAATGGGAACCAGAATTTAATTTAATGAATGTATAGTCACATTAAAATTTTAAAAATATTAATTAGTGTTCTTGATTATGCAAATAAAAAATCAATGAATGAATAGGGAACTTGTGCTGAAGTCTAAATAGACATGATTTGTTGACTTTTTCATAAGCAACAACTCAAACTTGCAATGAATATGGCAGCTAGCTATATCAATCAATGCACAAGCGTCAACAAGTAGTAAGTGACTTGCAATACATATGAAATAGATCGCCTACGAATGGTAATAATACTCATACAATGAATATGATGACTTACCAATGGTCATATACAAAGGAACACAATATATTTATAAGCGACATTAGAAGAATTGGAATGAATGCAATGATAATCCAGCAATCAATACCAATCTAATTGTGGATGAATATAATAGTTCCCTACCAATGATAATAGTTAACTTGAAAGCACATACATTAAACAACCAATGATCCATAGTATGTAGAGAGTAGCTCATAAAGATGGTGATTATGTAGGATGCATAATGAAGGTGTTAACCAGTGAAGAAAGACTCCTCATGAGTGTAGTAAATCTACTAAAGGAACTTCTGATGAAAATACCAATGAATGTAGTAGATCACCAATTAACTTGCATGTAGATGATGACAGGGGGTATGCTTCATTTACGTGAATTCCCTGTGCATATGGCCGTGTTGAACGTATAGCTCAACCATAATATGCTTAAGGTAAACTTTATCCACCCTCTGCAACTATTTGTTTAGGTGGACAAATTCAAATATCACTTCAGCTCATAAAGAGATAATGTCTAGTCTATAATATTATTAGGATTCATTCTTAAATAGTCTTTTGCCAGTAAGGGTGTTGCATGTGTTCTTTAATCAATGATTTTGCCACTAAATAGTGTTGAGGTAAATAACTATGACCGGGGCTCTTTGAACCGGGTGGTTTGGCTCCAAATGGCAAAGCTAATTAGGGTCACGGCTAGAGCCTGTATGCTCGCCAATAGTACTAAATCCTTGAGATATAGATCAATATGATATAATCGTTAGGGCACAAAGTCCTCTGTTAGTTAAGGTGGATTCAAATTTATCTTCTTTGATAAATATTCACCCAATATCTATTAGATACCTTTGGATGAATCAACCCATAGTTGTTTATAAGGATCCTTCTATCAGGTTGGGTCGACTATGTTCTCTAACTAACTAGACCAGGGACCGTTAAGACTTGGGATGATAGAACCATAAGATCTTGATCGAGTTTATCATCATTCCCCTATAATTCGTTTTAAGTGCAAGATGGTGAAATTTTTAATTTAGCTACTACTAAACGCCATAATATGTATCTTTATGTAACTTATTGGTGATTAGCCTTAATCAAAAGTTCTCTCTTATTATCAAGAGGGGTAATTGACTATACATGTTTACGCCTATATGAAACCAAAACTCATATCATAAAGTCCTCGCAAAATGAGGGTGAAATCTCTAGGTAGTGTCTTATTTCATACCCAATATGTCTTCTAAAAATTTACCTCATAACTTAATTCGTTATAACTCCCCTAAAAGCAAGGGAGGCCGAAGAGAGAATTTTTGGAGCCAATAGATTTCTGACAACTACACTAGGGTAAACATGTATTTATTTAAGCGCTTCGGTAGCAGCTTAAATTAACATGGGCTAAAATTTTAAAATTTTAAAAATAATAATTTAACGAATTAAAATTTCTAATATTCTAAAATGATTACTTAATAAATTCACTAAAAATTCACCAAGCAAGGTTTAAAATTTATTTTAATTATTTAATTATATTTTTATATTCTATGTACTCTCTGCATTTTGAAAATATGGGGTGATGTATCATATATTGATTATTAACCATTGCATTTCATTTGTGCAGATAGATCTACATAACACCTTAATTATCAATCAGTTGGGAGGAGGAGCTAGCATTAAGCTAGCTAATGTGGTCATCAACACTGAAACATTGGGGCCACCATCCAATTTAGTGGATGACAATTTCCCATAAATATTGCAATGGCAATTGCATTCCTCATATTCGGTATTGAATCTAAAGGGTCTTCTAGAAGGCTCCATTCTACTAAAATTCTTGCATGATGCATGCATCTTCTAGCATTACGAGTTACTTCTACCAATGCCACTGAAAATACTCACAGGAGAATTTCTATATTTGAATGCCTATCTTAACTAGAAGACCTGGCTCTAAAAAGGGATGTAGCTGGAGGAAGAATTTATGTGGTACCTGCCAAAGCCACTACTCTGCCAACTGGGTTACCTAAAAAGCATGATACTAAAGCCTCCTCATTTGGAGGAAGGCTCACAAGGAGGCAAAGAAGAAAGAAGAATGTTGAGCTATGAGCTCAACAATAATTGGTAATCCATCCATCGAACCTATTAGCCCAATAGCCAAAGCTACCAATTCCTACCAAGAGCAGGTTTACAGACCTGAAATGAGTGAAAAGAGACTTCTCCACTGACCAATTGAAAAGATCATTTTGGGACCAACAACTTGAAGCCTTAGCACATTAGAAGAAGGAGCCCAAAACATTATTAACTAGAGTATACAAGGTCTTAATGATGATGAAGGAGAAGGGGCTCATGATGAAGAAATCATAGTAGCCACCTGTAGTAAGGGCAAGGAGGAAGAAGCGACCACCTATGGTGAAAGAGAGAAAAGAGAGTAGTCCTCCCCCCCCCCCCCCCCCCCCCCCCCCAAAAGGGCCCCCCCTCGCGGTGAACATCTAGACGTATTACCTGAACCAAAAGTTTAAGGATCCGCCACCAAAAAGTCCTGATGAAAAGGGAAAGAAGTCTATAGGCCAAAGCCTTGCAGAGAAGAAGAAAGAGAAAGAAGAATAGGTTTGACATCTAGTGTATCTTCTCAGAGTTTCACCCCCACTCACAAGCAACATTATAAATGGGTACCAAAGAAGACCCATAAATGATCACCCCAACAGTCGACAACCTCGAAAATCTTCTAGGAGTTCCCATCGCTCGTTGACCCTATCGAAGGACGTGGCCAACTTTGATTGTAGCCTGCAGGTCAAAAAAATCTTCCTACCAAATTAACAGTCATAAATCAAGTGGCATCACCATTAGAAGATCCGAGTACAAGAAGAGGAGGAAGAAGAAAAAGGAAACACCATAGACGTTCAAGTGGTATACATGGTCAGGCATACCAATGTCAATAATAAGGCCTATTATGATGATAGTGAAGATGACAATGATTAGCAACAGCCGCCTATACAAATACATCGATGCCACCGTGAGACTAGGTTCATTACCGACAGAGGTTGCCGCTTTTCAAAAGAAGAAGAATAAGTGGTCATAGAGAATCCCATCAAAGTAAAAAATGTTACACTCATCAACATGAGAAGATAAATAGGACAACTGATGATGTCCAAGAAAAGAAAAATCTCTTAGTTAAATGAGAAGATGATTGAAATGATGGCTTAGATGAAGACAATGATGTAGATGATGCAAAGAACTACTACCACAGGCCCTGAACTCACTCCTCTACCCGATCCTCTAAATCTCCAAGTGCCTCAAATCTCAGGAGTGTGAGGCACTCCTGAAGGTGGCCAAGATGTTCATAATGTCAATCGCTAGCCTATCTCGTAGAACATAGCTTAGTACCTTTGAGCCTGAGAAGGTTATACATCAAGATGGGATAATCGCTAAAAGAATCAAGGCTATTATAGAAGTTGATCAGGAGAAAAAATTGGTAGGAAAGGGTCACCCATATCCGACGGAATATGACCAAGTGTCATACCTAAAAGGGTTATATGTCCCAAAGTTTAATACCTTCAATGATAATAACAACCTTAG